ATCCGCTAAAATGTTAGCTTTTGTTTCATCATCATCCGTTTTTTCTGATTTCGGATCTCTAGGGTCGGTGCATAAATCTGCAATCCCTTGTCTGCTTTTACTCTTTGAGTTGATATACTGCCATATTCTCTTAGGATTACTCTTTGCTTCCTTTGCTAGATTTTTTTCGTATTTCTTCCTAGCCTTCCTTACTAGTTTCCCTGCTTTGTTTCGAGTACGATTGTAGTTTCTTCTAACATCTGGATCTTTGTGTACCAGGTACTTGCGTGCCAAGGCATTCTTCTCTTTAATGACATTTAGAGTTTCTTTATCCAAGGGAATTTGCTGGTTTTTCTTCCTTCCAATTTCATAAGTAGGTACATACTTATTCTCTAGATCCTCCATCTTTCCACGAAATTTTGTCCATATTTCATCTATGTTTTCAGAGCCATTCCCCAAAATATGCCTCCAATTTATCTGCTTAATTTCACCCTTTAGTCCTACATAGTCAGCTTTGCTATAACTTTTTCTCTTCTTCTTTGTTTTCTTGACATCCACTCTGCACACATAGCTGAATATGATGACACAGTGGTCACTTTTTCCAAGAGGACTTTGTAGTTCCATATCTACTACTGTGTCCGGGTCCTTGGTTAATATCAGGTCTAGCACATTTGGTGTATTAGTTCCCCTCCATCTCGTTGGTTTATTTACCATTTGGAATAAAAAGTTATCCTGTAAGCACTCAAGGAACTTCTGCTCTTCTGAATGAATGTTTGATGATGTCATCATCTCCCAATTAATTCCAGGGTAGTTAAAATCTCCCATCAGTAAATGGTGGGTAAAGTTTAGCTTTGATACTTCACTGATCAAGTTCCTTAAAGTTCTACCGGTTTCTTCCGAACTATCTGATGGTGATCTGTATATCACTCCAATAAGCATGGTCTCATTTCTACTAATACGCAATTTCACGAACAGATGCTCACAAAATCTGCTATCAACTTTTATTTCCTCCGCCTTGAGTGATTCATGCACATAGAGTATAATTCCTCTACCAATATCCCCTTCTAGGTTTGTGTGGAACATATTGTATTCCTGTGACCATTCCATGTTGAATTCGGAGGGATTTATTAGATAAGAAGCATTCTTCGCCTTTACTTCGGTAATCCCTATTACCATCGGTTTTACATCTCGGATTCTGATTTGAAATTCATTGAATTTGTTTCTGAACTGATCGGCGTTTGTATAAAAGCAAGTTAGTCTATTCACAAACTTAAAACTATTTACACTATCTTCACTGTTCTTCTTTATATCTACTCTCCTTCTACCCGAACTTTTACCACTCTGCGCGCCCAGGGTGGTCCTCGTACTCGGAAGGTGAATTCCCCCGATTGTGTCCCTTGTAGTTCTTTAGCCCTTTCATACAGTTTCTTCTCATTTTCCCTTTCAGCTCTTGTCAAGTCATTTGCAATTCTCACATTGGTAAACTCCAAGTGATCCTTCAAGAATTTCGCACCTTTAAAAAGTTCCACCTTCTTTTTTGTTGTTGTAAGGGTAACAAGCATTGGGCGACTTGCCTTATCCTTTTTGAATTTCCCTAAACGTACCACTTTACTGACGTCGGAATTGTCAATATTTGTTTTGCATACCTTTCCTATAGCCTGCAACTTCTCGTAGTCAAAGTTCCGTCGTGTCTCACTAGATTCTGACTCACACTCCTCAATTCCATATACCACCATGTTATTTTCCCGACTTTTCCTCTCATTTATTTCCTGCAGGACTGCTGTAACATTTTCTTTGGGCTGTACCTCATCATTATTCGATGTGATTTCAGAATTTCCAGACACTACTTTATTATTTAGTTCATCCTTGACGATTGCACGGACATCATTTTCACTGCATTTGTTTTGCACTTCCTTTTCAAGTTTATCAATCCTTGACTCAAATATTTTCATTATTTCCTTGCACCTATCCTCTATCTCTCTATCCACCACAATGTTCTTTTCGACTTTTTCTCTGCATGTACCACAAAACCACATGACATCACTTTTTGACATAATGTTATATTCCTCAACTGATTTTTTCAGACATTTTATGCAGAAATGATTGGTACATCGTTGACACTCAAGGAGCTTGTCTTCGTCCGACATGAATTCGTTTTTACATAAGTTACAGCACCAAACTTCTTCATTGTCTAATGCTAGTACACAATGAGATTTCTTGGGCGAATTGCTCCTAGAGTTATCCCTAGAGGAAGGGCATGAAACTGTTTTAATCGGTCTCCCCCTTCTTTTACTTTTTGTTTCCCCGCTCTGATCGCCGACGCCATCTTGGATATTTTTTGTTGTAGCCATCTTACCATGAATCAACAAAAACCTCGGTCTGGTATTACTAATATCACACAATACTTATTCACTTGCCTACCCGTCACACCAATTAATACTCTTACCCACTACAAGAGCGATAAAAGCTCGAATATATGCTCGAAATGTCAATATCTTCGTCCTGGAATTTTCAGGCTGCCGTCCACCGGAAGTCACGTGTATCCATGTCATAATTCAAACAAAATTGAATCTACACTATCTGAAGATGCTTCCATATAAATATGACTTATCATGGCTTTGCAGTTCTAAACAGATTTTCAAAGACTTTTTTCATGTACTGGGGTTCATGTATTTCAATGTAAAACATCTACTGTCCATTATGGTCCCACCCTGACCCGGGGGTCATGATTTAAACAAACCTGAATCTACACTACCTGAGGATGCTTCCATATGAATATTACTAGCCATAGCTTTGCTGTTCTTGAGAAGAAGATTTTTATTTTTTTTCTTACATATACCCAGTTTAAACTTCATTTACCCCACAGGCCTTTAGATCGCTTAGAAAAAAAATTGAGGTGTTGAAAAAAAAATAAAGGTATGGAACTCTTTTCATGGGGTACCTACTTTCGCCAATAAAATTCTTTTAAATCAAATGCTTTACAATTTTACTTTCTATCCATATCTATTCAAAAATAAACAATCTTCATTACTACCAAAGTTCATTCCGTAATTCCTTATACTTCTCGAGATATTCTGAAATCAATTCCCATATTGACATTAATTTTTTTTACTCGACATCAGCTTGGGCCTTCACTAATTGTAAAGCGGGAACGACGGGACAAATTTTCCCCGGAATTTATTCTAAACTCAATGAATATTTGCTCATTTGCATTCAAGCTTTACAAGGTTTTTCTTTAATTTGAACATATGGTGTAACTAAGTCATAAACAACATTTTAGCGGTCTAATTGTTTTGAAAATCAAAAGGTATATAATGCATTCCGGGAAAAATTCGTTCTACCATGGCTTCATTTACATTCGTAATCAACATGGCGGTAGTTGTTGATGTAGACGTTTTCAAATTAATTTTTCGCGAAAGGAATATTATTACGGACTTAACGTTACAATCTGGAGTAAGAAATCAACTTTAAATTGTTGAAAGATTTTGCAAATACTATGCAACTCTTCGCCGCACTTCAAACACCGTCTGTTTACATGTGAATGGCCAGGGGCCCAAGCTAATGTCGAGTAAAAGAAAGTAGGTCATTTTTGAAATTGATTTCAGAATATCAGAGTTTCCGAAAACCAAATTTTTCTATCAGTCATTCGGACTGATGACTTAATGTGTTCTATCAGTCCGAAACATATTCTATCAGTCCGAATAAATTTTAAAATATACAGTGTATTTCTCATGTCAGATGTAATTCAAAGAAAATGGCATTGAATATGTAAAAAAAATTGTGGCTCACAAACACTGATTGTGATACCAGGAATATAAAATGCAACTATAATTAATTCAAACATGGCACCAGGTCACACAGGCTTGTGGCAGCAATAAAGTCACTAGCCCCAAGTAAATATTGTGAGAAAGAAACAAATAATTACAAAAAAGTTAATTCTTGAAAAAGAAAACTTCTCAAGGTTTCTAGAATTCTTTTTAAAATTTAAAGTTTAATTCTCACTTGTAAATTTGAATCATATATAAATAGCAGTAGAAATTCAAAATAAAAGTAAATTTAAAAAAAATTATCTTTACGTTTTCTCAGTGGGCATTGCACCTCTTGACCTATATACTGCATGTATTTACCAATAACAGAGGAATGGAGGAAATTCGGATTAGGAAAAAACGATCGTTTTTGGAAGTAAATAAGTCAAGTAGAACTGCAAAATGGATAAGATAATGGATATTTACGAAGAATAGGAGCTTGCTGCATTGAAATTTTTCATTTATGAAGATATTGCAATAGATTAGAGTACAATAAATTAATCAGGACAAGCCCTCACCACAATCGGTCACACGGACCGATACTGTAGCGAATTTCATCGGACATTTAGATTTTCTATCGGTTTTGCCGGTAGGACCGATAGTTTTCGGAAACTCTGGAATATCTCAAGAAATATATGGAATTTCGGAATGAGCTTTGGTAGAATTGAAGAATGTTTATCTATGAATAGATTTAAATAGAAAGTAGAATTTTAAAGCATTCGAATAAAAAATATTTTATTAGCGAAATTAGGTACCCAGTGTAAGAGTTCAGTACCTTTATTTTTTTTTACACACACAATTTTTTTAAGCGATCCAAAGGCCTGTGATTTACCCCTAATGTTTCCACCCTACTATCTAATGCTTTGAACAAATCTGAATCTGCACTACGTAAATGTAAAGAGGCTTTCATATTTTCTGGCATAGTGGTTCTTGACATTTTTTGATAACCACACATTTTTTTTCTATTTCTTCATTACCTTCCCTTGGAAAAGGTTGCGGCCCTTCATTTGAAAAAACAATGAATTCCTTTACCATAGGATTCTCTGTGCCAAGTTTGGTAAAAATTAGCCTATTGATTCTGAAGAAGAAGATAAAATTTGTAAAAAGTTTACAACAACCACAACCAAAATGGCAGGCAATGAATGAGTTTTGATCAGTTATCAAAATGAAGTCAAATGCAACTTACAATACATGTACCTATGAATTAAAAAAAAATGTGGAGTCTTCAAATATTTTATTTAAGTTCCAGCAGAAAGATAGTTCATGAAGATGTTATTGAGATATTCAAGGATGTACAAAAATCCTTTTCCTGTTTAATTAATCATGAATTTTCATGATGCCTTTATCCCGTAGGGACCAATGTAAAATTAATTAACTGTACAACTATAAATTCTAGCAAATACATACACAAATGAGCCCCCCCCCCAAAAAAAACAAAAAAAACCTAGGATTTTAAAGTCATCATAACTTAACATCAACACCCACAGCTTCCGAGATGTTACTGAATCCATCACGTCTGAAAAGGAAAGAAAAATTTTCAACTTTCAGGATTTTGATTTACAAATTCTGAAATGGGAAAAAGCCATCTTCTCATGTTAAAATTAAATGGTGAAAAACAAGCACATGTACTGCATGAAAAAAAGTTAAAAAAAACAAAAAACTGGCTTTTGGACAATTCTCAGATTCTTGATTTCCTATGTATACCAAAAACCCTTGAATTTTCTCAGGACTGGGCATTTTGTTATTATCCTTGCAGCAAATTGCATGTAATGCAAAAGTGCAAAAATTGCAAGTTTATTTAGTAATTTAATTTCCTGCATTTTACCAACTGTTTTATAAGAAGAAAGGTAAACTGGTCATGAAAAAGGATAATTATCACTTTTAAAAATGACCACGACCAACAAATGGTTGCCAGTCAAAAGAATTACATGTATTATTCTTAAGATACACTTACTTGAGTAATTCCTCAAGTTCTCGCTTGATTTTCTTGACAACTGGAGGTCCTTCATAAACAAGAGCTGTGTAGAGTTGAATGAGACTAGCACCAGACCGGATTTTCCTATACGCCTCCTCCCCGGAGTGCACCCCTCCTACCCCTATGATTGGGACTGTACCTAACAATTTTTATAAAACTTTAGTTGAAGTACAGTATTTACATCAATAACATTCTTTTCTTAAATCTCTAACCCTAGAAAATCTATACATGCAACTAAACTTCTACAGTAAAATTCTGTAATAACAACTCTCTTTAACCTATGAAATTTTTTTCCTATATCCGTAATTCGTAAAATCCGCATAAGGTTTGGTTAAATTTATATAACTGGGAACCCAAGATAACTTCGCTATATCTGTGAATTCGCAATATTCATGTTCATACTAAACAAGTTTTACTGTACATGCTTACAGAGATTTTCAAGGTTTAAATTTTAAAATTTTTGTCATTTCATAACTGAGATACATTTCATTTCCTGTCAGGAAGAACACATCAATGTCAGTTAAATATGCTGAACTTTTGAGTTTTCAAGAAACTAAGTGTAGTGAAAGAGTAAAGCGAGTCTGACATTTAAATATTAAATATAGATACAGTTATGCTATAACATTTAAGAGCCACTCTCTGTAATGATTTGAAATTTTATATAGGAGCTGTGGCACGCATAGTCTCAGAATTTCTCCAAACTCTCTATGATAAAAGTCATTGATACCCTAAACTGAAATCAGGCAAAAATTGGTTGCTATGTTTTATAGTTACCATGGCAACATGTCTTAAAGTTAAAAAAATGGCATTTTTAAACATGTTTAGAGCCCCATAGTTAACATTTGCGGCAAAGCAAACAATTGGCAATGACTGTTTCCAAAAGTTGAAGGTCAGATGTCTCAAATGCATGATAAACATGTTTGGTAAATCAACTATTACATACGTTACTATGGTAACAAAGTATTCAAAAGTAAAAAAATATTCAATGAATTTTATTAAGTCAAACACGTAAAAATAAAAAGCAATTTTAGGATGAAATGTGACCAAATAATAGAAAAAAGAGCCTTGAAACATTTACCAATAACAAAATATCATATTTCATTTTGGTTGGCAATGGTTGCCAAGGTTTTTATACCACAGAGAGCCTTCAAAGTAACACTCTGTATGTTTAAATCTGATCCTATCTTTAAAAAAAGCACATTTCCTCATAACAAATGATCAATTTTTAAAGATGTTGGTGTGCTCCAAGTTTTACCATTTGAAAAAATTCAGATTAGATTCTTTAAATAGAGCGTTGCTATGGAAATAAGCAGAAAATATATGCTTAAAAACCTGAAAAATATTTTCTTTCCTTGGATACGTACCCTTAAATGTAGATTCCCAAAATTTTTATGATTGATATTTATAAACAGCTAACTTGACTTTTAATTTTGACTATCATCCAATCTCTAAGTGGATGCAAGAAGTTGGCACACGGGGTTTAATATTAATATAAAGTTCACAAAATCGAACATTTTCCCTTCTTGGTAACCATAGCAACAATGTTGTTTTCTTTATCAAATTTTATCAATATATGATATTCAACTTCACTTCTAACAGATAAGTGCCATTCAAGCTGAGTCTTTTAATTGGTTTTTGATTAAATGGCAATTCAATTCTTAATGCAGCGAAAAAAATTCACTTTTAAGCACCGGTACTTTGTTTCCATGGTAACACTGCAAAGTAGCAATTATACCTAATTTTTCTTATGATTTTGGTGTTGCAAGGTCCTAAGGATGCATATTTGCCAGTCTTGAATTTTCATGTTTTTCCTCAATACAGTAGCATTAACCCAATCTTAGTTACTGGTTTTGCTTGGTTACAATGTGTTACCATGGCAACCATAAAAATTATTTATAGAATAATATTGCTTATACTTATATACTTAAGGTAAAACATTTTCAAAACTTTTCTTAAGTCGTTGATTGAGTTTGAGCATGTAACACCTACCATTAGTGAATTCGGAGTGTTTTTCAGCATATCTCAGCATTTTAAAGTATTCCAAATGTACCCTTGGTTACCACTTACTTAGAGATATATTCTAAACAGTTTCTTTACAGTATAAGTGACCTCAAGATGTCATATTTTTGTGAGAATGGTTTGTTTGCTTTTTCTAGTTTTTATTAAGCCACAGTCAAGATTTAAAGTGGCTGAAAATCTCGATTTTTCAAACTTTTCCGGCTGTTGCCATAGCAACCGAAACACATAGCAACGAAATTTTGTTTGACTTTTGTTTCTAGTGTCAAGTACTAAGCATGGGTGAAGTTTCATCAAAATCGGTGACCATGCGTGGCAACGAAGTTTAAGTGGTTACAGAGAATGGCTATTAAAATCTGTACCTTTAGTTAACCTATACATGTGTTTTTAATGTACAAGTCCTACCTTTAGTTAACCTATACATGTCTGAGATGGTATTTGTTGATAAATCTGCTAATGGATGGCCACTCAGTCCTCCTTCTTCATTTTTATGTGGACTCTTTAATTGGACGGGCCTCTTTACTGTTGTGTTGCTTACAATTAAACCACTTACATAACCCTGCAACAGAATCAATGACAAATGAATCTCAATTTTAGACAAGAAATACTCTAAAAAAGAGGTAGTAATATTATACACATTCTCCTATACAGTAAAATGTGGTTATAACAAAGTCACTGGGACCTATGAAATTAGTTCTTTGTATCTGTAATTCATTACATCCATATAAGGAATTTGTTAATTTAATATAGCTGGGGATCCAAGATTAATTCGTTACATCTGTGAATTCACAATATCCGTGTTCGTATTGAACAAGTTTAACTGTAGATAAATTTTGTTCAAAGGAAGACAACTCTTGCATTACCTTTTTGGAGGTGACCACAGCTGCGATATCTGCTTTGTCCTGGTCAGTCAGATCTGGGGCTATTTTTACCAACAGGGGTTTCCTGACTTCCATCTCATCTCTTTTTTCTATTACCTTGTTCAATCCAAAAACAAATTAAATTCAAAGTAAACAATAAATTCATGCATGTATCAATCAATCAAGCATACATAAAATATAATCAAAGTACTGAAAGTACTGAATCAAGGTGATATCTTCCAGAAAAATGTGAAATTCATCCCCAAGTTAACTGACACACACAAAAACTTAAATCTTTAAGAACCAGTCAGAAACCCCAATGAAAACCATTGGAAAGGAAAAAGTGAGCAACACGACAAATGCATTTTGTAGCTTATTTGATATATAACAACTAAACTAGTTATCCCTGAGTACCCAAACTTCGTCACCATAAGTGGAAAACACCCTGAATTTTTCTTCAAATTATATTTTGATTTGATTCTTGTTTGCTACACACAGTAATTAAGTTGAACATTGTTAGAGTAATATTCACAAAAAAGTGCAGTTACTTGGCTTATATAACACCACTAAATAGAATGTGTATCCTGCCAGTGTCATTTCATCCAGTGTACACTAACTCAGTCACCAGGGTCCTCTAAAATATGCATACAATTTTTATACCTTTTTCTTAAATTTCTAAACATAAAAAATTGTTTTTAAGATTTCAAATACTATTAAATTGTATTTTTTAGAAAGGCATCAGCAATATACACAAATAATGTTAAAACAACATATTCTATTAGTAAAAATGTTTTGCTGATGTTATCACAATGCATAGTGCATTGGGGCAATTGTATATAAATCATAAAATATTTTTAGCCGTATTCAACATGGTATGTCATGATACACCTTTGAAATAGACCTTCATGAAAATGGCTGACAGGTAAAAATGACCATGTTGACAAACCTGTTGGAGGTTTAGATGGAATAGCGCATAGGGGAAAAGGTGCTGACTGATTTCATGTAAAATATGATAACTAAAATTAAATAAGTGTATATTTTATTTGTTTTGATACATTTTTGAACTTGAAAAGAAACCAAAGAATAATAACTTTATTACTATATGTACATGTATATTACATAAGATAGATTAATAACTCTAAAATCATACATGCCAACTTTCCCGATTTAGGCGGGATCCTCCCGATTTTACCCTTTCATCCCGCCTTCCCGATCGGGAGAGAAAAATTGCCCTAATTTCCCAATTTGAAAAAAAAAAAATCACCTTAAAATTTCAGATTTTAAAAGTTTCCCTACCGCTGAATTTTGACAATCGGGAAAACAATGTCAGACTTGTATATTCAATGCACACAGATAAGTTTCATTGTTTATTTAACCAGATGTTAATTACTAATTAAGCCACAGGAAATCACTTCACGCATGAATGCACGCAGTTGTCCAGGTACGAGTAGCTTATAGCTTGGGGCAATTAGGGTATTATCTTGTCAGTTTTAAGGGGTATGCAAGGTGAAACACATAGATTAACGTGATAACTATTAGTCATTTTATTAAAAACATAAATTAAAGACAATAAAATACTAATTAAACCATAAAATCGGAATCCAAAGAGATCGTTTATTTGAAAACTAAAGTAGAAAACTACAAAGCATAGCTGATGATTTTATCTACCTATAATGAAAAATATTTCTAAGTTGCCTGCAATTAAAATATTATGAAAAAATTGAGATGAAACAATCAAGTGTATTTCAATTATAATTTCTTTTCCCTCCCTTCTCCCCAAAGTAATGTGCATGACTTAAGGAAATACCCAAATGGCAACATCAAGCCTGACGAATTTCATGACTGTAAAAAAAAATAATTTTCTTTTACATAGGTGGTATAAATTTCTGTATATTTAATATCTAATTAGAATTTCTAATATATATATATATATATAAAATCTCAAAAATGTTTCCAGAAACAGGATTTTACAGTATCAAAACCTCATATTTTTTAGCCTTTGAAAAAATGATTTAAAAGTTGTAAAATTTTCAATTTTTCACTAAATTATGTGTTCTGGTAGAAAAAAATGTTGTTTACATATGTAACTAAATACCCCTTCTTAAGTGAAAGAGGCACCTATTTTAGCAGAAATATTTCAATTTTGGAAAGAAAAACATTATTTTTTGTGTTAAATTAATTCTTAAGTAGTATTGATAAGTAATATCAATATTATAAATAAAAAAAGAAATCATTTCATAATCATTTAATTTCACGACAAAATGTCGTGAATTTAAAGCTTTGAAAATTGTCATCACGCGCTAAATCCCCCATGGGAATTTTCAAAAGTTGGCATGTATGAAAATATACATGTATGTCTGTATTCACAGCATGAATCAATCATTTGACAATAAAAATAGTTTAAATATTAATATTATATCCAACATCTTTGGTATGACATCAATAAATGTCCAGCTGTTTTGCTTCTTGTTGTGTATAACTTGCAACAATGTAATTTTTCATACGTGAAAGCATAAATTCTAGAGGAGTTCCGATTGAGTATTCGATGAAGAGGTCATTTGCAGTGAAATAAGTACAAGTGCCCTGCTGTTATTCACCTTTTTCAACAGTTATAACACCAAACAGATTTATAAACTAGGGACGATATTGTCACGTACTGTGCAGAAAAAATTCATTTCAATATGTGCAACCTCTGCAAAGAAATTGAACGGAAACTGATGGTGGACCGACAGACCGACAGCAGCAAAGCAATATGCCCTCCCTTCTTGGAAGGGGGGCATAATAATAGTTAAGTTCTTACTTTGTCTAGGAGATTCTGTAGTCTCTGTTTTCCTTGTAAGTCTCTCAGACCAGGTGTGTTAGGACTAGAAATATTGACCACCAGGTAATCGGCAAGTTGGCTGAACTTTTGAACTCCTTGTGTGTAGTCACCTTCCGGATCACTAGAAGTCTTGTTTTTACCCAAATTTACACCTAGTAGACATTCATCTAAAAGACAAAATCACAGTGCTCATATTCCAGACTTACAAACTAAATTCTCACTTGGAAGTTGGAGCACACTAAGCAAGAAAGTTATCAAATAAATTTGTTATAATATCTCTATTGACTCATGTTTACACGACCCTGAAGCACTTTTAGATATTTGTGTTGTTAGTTCTGACCTTTGTCTTCTGAGAGTCTGTCCTTGAGTCGGTTATACACTGCCTGATGACCCTCACTATTAAAGCCATACCTACAAACGCAACATAACAATATACAGTAAAACTCGGTTATAAAAAAGTCACGGGACCAATAAATTTACTTCAATATATCCGTGAGTTCACTTTACCTGTGTTCATATTAAACAAGTTTTGCTGTACAGTAAACTATCACTGGTTCCAAAGAAATTGGCCAGATTAAGCAACATTCCAGATTTATATGCATTTTTTAAAACAAATAAGTTCACTGCAAGGGACTTAAAATTTAAATTGTATTAGACAAGATTTTAGACACACAGCATCCAGAAAAGACAAGTTTCACTTTATACTAATGCAACCTAAAGGTATGCACTATGCATACCTGTACTCAAATTTTTTAATTTTTATTTTAAGTGTTGAAGAAAAAAGTCAATAGATGATGAAATGGGAATTCTAATTTTACTCTTCAATGTGTAAAAATATTTCCTGAAAAGAAACAAGCACTTTTGAATAAATACCTTAATTGACTGATGTTATAGTTTTTACAGCTTTTGAAAATTATCAAATATAACAAGAATATTTAAAATTCTTTGCTTATGGTGAGATTATTTTTGAATAATTGTTTCACATTTACCTGTTGATGACAGCTCCATCCTCTGTCAGTCTAAACACGCGTGGTTTTGGATTCCCTGGCTGAGGTTTTGGGGTCACGCTGCCGATTTCGATAAAACCAAAGCCAAGCTTCTTCAGGCCTCGGACTCCTTCCCCATCCTTGTCAAACCCAGCAGCAAGTCCTACAGGATTACTGAACTCTCTCCCAAACACAACTGATGACTGAAATAGAGAACAATTGGTCAGAATCAAAACCAGTCCTATAGGATTACTGAACTCTCTACCAAACACAACTGATGACTGAAATAGAGAACAATTGGTCAGAATCAAAACCAGTCCTATAGGATTGCTGAACTCTCTCCCAAACACAACTGATGACTGAAATAGAGAACAATTGGTCAGAATCAAAACCAGTCCTACAGGATTACTGAACTCTCTCCCAAACACAACTGATGACTGAAATAGAGAACAATTAATTCAAATCAAAACCAGCCCTACAGGATTACTGAACTCTCTACCAAACACAACTGATGACTGAAATAGAAAACAATTGGTCAGAATCAAAACCAGTCCTATAGGATTACTGAACTCTCTACCAAACACAACTGATGACTGAAATAGAGAACACAGGGTCAGAATCAAAACCAGTCCTATAGGATTACTGAACTCTTGCCCAAACACAACTGATGACTGAAATAGAGAACACAGGGTCAGAATCAAAACCAGTCCTATAGGATTACTGAACTCTCTACCAAACACAACTGATGACTGAAATAGAAAACAATTGGTCAGAATCAAAACCAGTCCTATAGGATTACTGAACTCTCTACCAAACACAACTGATGACTGAAATAGAAAACAATTGGTCAGAATCAAAACCAGTCCTATAGGATTACTGAACTCTCTACCAAACACAACTGATGACTGAAATAGAGAACACAGGGTCAGAATCAAAACCAGTCCTATAGAATTACTGAACTCTCTCTCAATTACAACTGATGAACAATTGGTCAGAATCAAAACCAGTCCTACAGGATTACTGAACTCTCTAAAAAACACAACTGATGACTGCAAAAGAGAACAATTAATTAAAATCAAAACCAGTCCTACAGGATTACTGAACTCTCTATCAAACACAACTGATGACTGAAATAGAGAACACAGGGTCAGAATCAAAACCAGTCCTACAGGATTACTGAACTCTCTATCAAACACAACTGACGACTGAAATAGAGAACACAGGGTCAGAATCAAAACCAGTCCTACAGGATTACTGAACTCTCTAAAAAACACAACTGATGACTGCAAAAGAGAACACAGGGTCAGAATCAAAACCAGTCCTACAGGATTACTGAACTCTCTCTCAAATACAACTGATGACTGAAATACAGAACAATAAGATCAGAATCAAAACCATACACCTACAGGATAACTGAACTCTCTCCAAATCACAACTGATGACTGAAATAGAGAAGAATTGATCAGAATCTTTTAAAAGGAGTAGTAATAATTTTATAAATTATACCAATGATACAAAATACATCAAAATTTTTTCTCAGGAATCATTTCAGAATTTTTTATCAATTTATTCTCCCCATTCAAAAATAAACAACAAGAGGCCCATGGGCCTTATAGGTCACCTGAGCATCAAGCAACAACTTTTCAACAATGCATTGAATTTGTTTCATATTTTTAACTAGAAGCCATGGCATACACAATTCTGAAAGAGGTGCCATTGCTCATCATAACTATACACTTAGCATGCTAAGTTTATTTATCTAATACCCCTAGGCAGAGTAGAGAAAAAACACATTTCAACTAATCAGTAATATTCAACAATAATCAGAAGTGCTCCGACCCACAGGAACCCATGACCCTGGGTTCACACATGCACAATTTTTGAAAAAGCACCCTTTTGATCATAAATCTTTGAAGGCATTAATTAATTTTCAAAATATAATTAGAGCCCCCCTCCTCTATGTTATCCTTAACCCACATGACCCAGGGGCCTTGAAATTCACAATTCTGAAAGAAGGACCATTGACTTGCATTTGAAAAGACTTAAATCTTCAATTTGTACTCATTTTGTAGGTATGAACTTTTATTTATATATCTTTATGTGTTTTGTGCAATTTAAATTAGCTGCAATAATGTAGCCCTCTCCGATTTTTTAATCTGATATTTTCTGGAGACCTCTTCTCTCCTCAAAAAAGGGAGCCCCTCCCCTCAAAAAAAAGGGAGAGGGCTACATTTTTGCAGCTAAATTTAAATATGCATACTTTAAAAAATAAACTGTGAAATGTGATCCATGATATATTGTTAATTAATCCTTTCCTCTCCTATTCCTGAAAACCTCGTGCAATAAAAGTGGACTCATACAAAACAAATTATATCAGATTTATTCAGGTTTAAATTCATTCAGTATATAATGAACTACAAGTAAACTATAAAGACATTTATATTAATTAATCAATAAAAGTTCTTCATCATAACAGCAGTTTGCAATAAAACGTCTCAATCTTGAATCATAAAATATATCTATGTGCATATAATATACACTGTATATATTGGTTACATATAAATTGACTATTAAACAAGTGTACAATACTCACTTATATCATCATGTCATATTTAAAACTTCTGCATTCAATAGTTGTGTCCAAAAGCAATGTGTTTAACATTTCATAGAGTGTTATGATTTAAATTATTTTATTTAGTTTTGAAAACTAAAAGGACTTGATTGGTAAAAACGTTTTGCAAATGTCTGAAATTTTACCATAAAACAATATTCGAAGCAATTTTCACTTTTATTTATATACCATCTGAAAGAAGCAAGGTTTACCTCCCTTTACGGGCTGGCCATTGACCCCTTCTTTCCAAACTACTTACCTTCAAAAAGTGTTGCTTCATGTAGGTGATTTCAGACACTTACAACATTAAAAAAGATATTTTGAAATCTAACTTGATAAATTTGAGTCCATTACACTGTAGTAAGGTTTGGGGCATAAACATGCACATCAATGGTCCCCTTAGCATATTTTATACAAATACATTTCACTGTTTTTGGACATTTCACATGATGTAAAAAAAAATTAACCCATCGAGTTATTCAAGTTTTTCACAATATTATGAAAAGACTGTATTGAACCAACAAATTTAATGTAACACGACAAGAAGAAAAATATTTGAAATTATTATATTGTTTAAACCATCTTGCTTTGGCAATAGCCAATACCAAAAAAGTTGTAACTAAGTTATAACTAAAGTATATAATTTAGTTATACCTAGGCTCTGAGGTACAAAAAAAGTTATAACTATAATGCAACCTTTTATGGAATTTGCCATTTTCATATACAAGTATAACTAAAACATAACTTTTCTGGACTTCATCATTTTCATGTATAACTAAAATGTAACTTTTTGGACTTGGCTATTTTCATATGTAACTAAAACATAACTTTTCTGGACTTTGTCATTTTTATGCATAACTAAAAATGTAACTTTCTTAGACTTAGCTCGCATTTCAAAGCATTGCAGAAACTGAAAACAAAACAAAAAAATTGCATAAATATTTCCTACATCATTAAATGTATATACTGTACTATGTGATTTAGTAATTCAATTTTAAAAATGGAACTCATATTTTTCATATTTCAAAGAAACAGCTGCATTCATTAATTCATTTTTAGAACAACTTTTTTAACCTTTATACACCGAAAACGAAAAGAAAGATTAAAAGTTGTTCATATAATGAGATACAAAGACCATATGCGGTTTCAGGATCATAAAAACGGTTCCAATATTAGACTCCGTTAAGTCCAAATTTAAGTCTTTATAGAATGAATATTACAATGTATATACTAGCTGACACTTGAAAAATTACTTCTAATATGAAGTAATAAAAATTGTTATAACAAATAACAAACTTAAGGATAAATAACAAAAACTTTTTCCTTCAAAAATTCAATTATCTCAGGTGTTTCTCTCTTTTTTGATGCGATATTTGTTTACTTTAACAACAAATGTTTTGCCAAGCAACATAATTTGGTGAAAAACAGGAGATTAAATGCAACTTCACTGATAAATAAGTTTTTAATTTCATTTCCATTGAAAGGAATATTGAAAAAACTATCAGTGTAACTCTTCTGTGTGGGAGATTAAAAAAAATTGTTCATGGTATGTATCCTTAAAGAAACAATTAAGACTGTTTCTGAGGATGAATGTGGTACCAATACTACATTTATCACAATTAAAAAAATCAAAATTGTCCATGTTGAGTTTAGTAACATTTCAGTATTTATAATAAATAATAAATAAAACTTAAACTAAATAACATATGATTTCTTAAATATGAATTTGAATAACAGAATATGTAGATAACACTTTTGTTTTGCATGTAACACAATGAATTAGCAAAAAAATTAATTAACATTTTTATAAATAATAGAGCTCCGGAGTATTAAAGTCTTTTCAGAAACAGAATGTTCATTTAAACATTTTAGATGTCCACTGGAGCTAACCATATTCTGGATGTTTACAATGTCTTTGTAGACCGAGATACTGATAGTCACTTGTTATATATTGGGTTACAAAGTAAGCAATTACTTTTATGAAAGTAGAGAAATATAAATATCATAATAATTGCATAGTTAATTATCATTGTATAATAGCTAATAAATACTTATGTATAATACAACATATACAAGAATGCTTTCTATTATATCTACAACTAATTTAGTAAAATTAGAAATAATTTACCCCCAAAAATTGATAATTTAAATGCCCATGAGATGAAATATTAATTGTTAAACTGTACAAAAAGATACATGTAGTACATTAAAATACACAAAATATGTAATATTGTAACGAGTAAAAATTAAGAAAATAAAACATACAAGAAAGAAGTAAGATTTGATTAATTGTGTATTCATTCAGACTTAATTGCAACACAGAAAAACATGGTATAAAAAATAATTATCAATCAAATCTTGCAAACATATATCCATATATCATTCTTATTCAAAATCATAGGTATACATATTTCACTTAAAGTATGTTAATTTGGTTATTACTGAACTGTTGACATGTGAATTTGCAATCTGTTAGGTAATAAAATTACCTCCTATACCAAATATGCAACATGTACCGTTTTACAATGCCAGGGGTTTTTATATTGTGGATTAACAATATAATACATAAATTAAAGATAAATCAAAAGTAGA